TGATGAGTTATGTGAATGTCATGTGTCACTGTTTTTCTTGTAATCTCTTTCTCTAAAATATTGCAAAACATTTAATTTCTGATTGCAGGCTGTGTTAGGAAACACAGCCTACAGTTAGCATGTAGTTAGTTGATCATTGAGAGCTACTGTGTGTAATACAGGAAATACTACAAGGATTAACTAAAGCGTAGTAAAGTAGCCAGCTGTAATGACTGAGGTATCAATTCCATCAAGTATAGCCAGGCTTAGTAACTACCTGGAAGGCATAAAGCTAAGAAAACAGGAAAAGATAATGTGTTCTAAGGAAGAATTAAAAGCAGAAATAACAGCTTCTGATACGTTCCTTTTTTATTTTTAATGTACATTTCAAAATGAAACACTCTGGTAAATATAATTTGCCTGGTGCTTGCTTTATTTATTTATTTACTCTAGGTATTTTAGTATGACAATTAGACTCTGTAGTGCAGTTTAACTAACTTGGGTTTTACCAAATAGAGCATGTAAGAAACTTATCATCTTCCAGTTCACATTTGTTTTCTTGTATTTAGGTAAACAAATGACTGAAAGCATCTCAGACCTCTTCATACCTGTAAGCCTTAGTGTTCCGATTTGTGAGATGGATTTAGTATGCCCTTCAGAGCGACAATAAGAAGCTTTAAGAAATTACAGCTTAGTATGTGCTCTATGATACTGTTTTTTAAAGGTGCTATGTATTTGCTTGATCTATGTCCTTATTCACTTAGCCTGCCTCCTACCTACCTTTCAGTGTCCTCCCTTTTTACCATCTCTATCTCCCCACCCAAATTAGTAGCTACTCCCTATACGTTTTGCTCTTACTCATAACTGAAAGCCATCTTCCAATTAGTCTGCTGTAAATCTTTATTTTAACCTTTCCATTCTTCCTCTAAGTTATTCTTTGAAGTCTGTCCCTTCCAAATGACTCCTAAGTTAAACATCTGCTAAGAAATGCTGCAGTAAAAAGCTGTACTGTATAAAAAAAAATCAAATAAAAATTATGACAAATACTATTTATTAGCATTCAGCAGTGCAAATTCAGATCTTGTCCTGTACAATTCAGAGCAGGTACATTTTTGAAATGGTGACTCGACAGAAGGTTTTTGTTGTGTAGCATTTTGAAATGTGGATGAGTTCTTTGATATATGTGTCTCGGTAGCTGTGCATGAATGGATGAACTCTGCTCCACACAAATGAAGTCCAAATAAGCTGCTCTGGAACATCCACCTAGGATTTCATGACAGGTCACCAGACCAAAATGTATTCTTATTAAGTCATAAGTAGTTTGAATGTAAATATAAAAACTGCAACTGGCCTTGATTTTCTGTGGCCAGATTTGTCTGAGACTCGTTACTCCAAATATTTAGGTTAGTAGTTTCTTCACTATCATGAGAGAGTCAGCAAACACAATGAATCATTGAGGTAATGGGCAATCAGAGAAAGAAGATTGACTGGAACAAAAGCAGCCATAGTTTGCAGGATTGTGCCTGTTTATTTTAGGAGCAGTACAGAGAATGTGCATTATAGGCAGTGAATAATGTTAAATGCTTTTAAATAAATAAGATTATTCATAAATAATAGAGTTAATAAATTTGGAATGTTTTCTAATTGCCTGCTTATTTTTAAAAATACTTGCTGTTGTATATTGAGTTTTAACTAGAGTGGTACAAAGAATTGATGTAGAGATAGGAAAGCAGAAGATAACTGAGGTTGTGGACTTCTGTAATAAACCACTGTAACTTGATTGGTTTAGAATAGGTAATCTAACTTTAAAATTGTTCTGGCTTAAAAGGTACTCTGTTATTAAACATACAGCTTTAGTTTAGGAAGGCATAACAACAGGTTCAGTAAAAATATTTAAGTCTAAAACACTGAGTAACGTTTTGTAATGTCTTTTGGGTACTCATATGCTGTGCCCAGAGCACAAAGAAGTTTGCCAGGTGATTCTGCTGGTATTAAAAACTCAGTTGTGTACTGACATCTGGTGACAGGAGCTTGACAGGCTTGAGAGGTGGGCCCCTGCGAAGCTCGTGAAGTTTAACAAGGCTAAGTGCAAGGTCCTGCACATGGGTCCGGGCAATCCCAAGCACAAAGACAGGCTGGGCAGAGAATGGGTGGAGAGCAGCCCTGAGGAGAAGGACTTGGAGGTGCTGGTTGATGAGAAGCTCAACATGACCCAGCAATGTGCGCTGGCAGGCCAGAAAGCCAGCCCCATCCTGGGCTGCATCCCAAGCAGGGTGACCAGCAGGTCGAGGGAGGGGATTCTGCCCCTCTGCTCCGCTCTGGTGAGACCCCCCTGCAGTACTGCCTTCAGCTCTGGGGTCCTCAGCACAAGAAGGACATGGACCTGTTGGAGCGAGTCCAGAGGAGGCCACGAAGATGATCCAAGGGCTGGAGCCCCTCTGCTGTGAGGACAGGCTGAGAGAGTTGGGGGTGTTCAGCCTGGAGAAGGCAAGGCTCCAGGCAGACCTTAGAGCAGCCTTCCCGTACCTAAAGGGGCCGACAAGAAAGCTGGGGAGGGACTTTTTACAAGGGCAGGGAGTGATAGGACAAGGGGGAATGGCTTCAAACTGGAAGAGGGAAGATTTAGATGAGGTATAAGGAAGAAATTCTTCATGGTGAGGGTGGTGAGGCACTGGGACAGGTTGCCCAGAGAAGTTGTGGCTGAAAATAGTGTCAAGATCTCTAAGCTGTATGGAACTTTCTAGCATTTCACTAGTTTTCAGGACTTGACAGTGTTCTGATCTGTTCCTTAATCCTTTTATTTGTCATATACTGCCTTAGTGCCAAAGTCTAGAGACCAGCTAAAGAAATGTGGCTCATGTCCACATTATTTAGGGTTAGTATCTCTGGAGTGGACCAGCCTTGTCCACACCCTGTTACTGCCTGGAGAGCATCATGGTATGGTCTGTCTCTTTACTCAGGATGCAAACTCCAGAGTAAATTATCACCTCAGGCATGCTCACCTTCCCTTTTGGAAGGAACTAGCTGTTTCTGTCGAGATGAGAAGTGCCCCATCTAAGGAAACTTACTTGTCAAAGTTATGTTTTCCTAAGTTCTTTGTAGGCAAACCCTCCTTGATAAGCTAGCAGTTATCTGGGTTAAAAAAAAAAAAAGATCTGTACTAAGTTCAGCATGTCTTCTTTGGGTTTTAATACCCATGAGAGATTTGACAGTTGTCAGCCTTTTTCTTTGTCTTAGTCCGACTTCTGTATTTTAGTGTTAGGAATGTACTCTTACATCACTTTTTGAGCAAACTGCCACTGATGTCAATGGAGCAAGTAAACCTCAAGATTAGTGGGACAGGCTGCCCATATGAAAAACAGGCAGCATTCAAAAGTCAGCATTAACTGATATGTGTGCCTAGAAATCAGAAAACTACTGTAGAAGATTTTGGGGGCTTTTTGCTTATTCAAATTGTATTCATTCAGAAGGCCGTGTGGAAGAGCCCTGTAAAATTTCCTCTTTTTCCGACTATACCATGTGAGTGTAACTAAATGTCATTCATATTGTTCTGGCAGGCTTTATTTTCTCATATGCTGAGTGTACATAACATAGCGATGCAGAACATTGCAGAACATCCTTCCATTGTTCATGGGGTGTTGTCTTCGGTCTGAACACTTAGCTTACATAATTGTCTGCAGCATGCTTTGCTTTTGATTATAGTTTAAATAAGCCAGTGGTGGGCAGAAAATATATACAAGAATATCAGATAAAGAGATTATTATTTTTAAATGATAGAACTAGAAATTTCCCTGACAAGAACAAAAGTAGTTCATAGTGTGGGTCGTGTTCCAGGTACTAATTTAAGCAAAGGTAGTCAGAAGTTTTGACTGTAGGTAAAATTGCATCCTAGCCCTGCTTTCAGTTCTGCATGGAAATATATCGTGCCTCCAAGTATAACTTCCTGAAGAATTTAAGATATTAGAGTCTAACGACATGATAAATTATTATCATGCAGGATATAGTATTATAATAAAAACAGAGAGGAAACAGTTATACTGTGAGACATTCACCTCAGGAGAACAGTGTCATTAAAACGTTTACTGGCATTTCTTGGCAATACTTGCTTACATTTCTAAGAAAATATCCTTATACATTTATTATCCCATTTTATTTTGTATTGTTTTACTTGCTCATTCATCTCATCGTGTTGTAAACAGTTTAAGATCAACATGAACTTTGATTTTTTTTTAATTTTTTTTTTTTCCCCTTTGCCATTCATTCTCCTTTCTCTGCCATGGCACTTTACGTACTCCCTCTATGAGAAAGTGCTTCCTGTTTCAGACAGTGCAGGTCTACAGTTAATATAAGCTCTTTGTAAGGTAACTGATATTACTGTATATTCCCATATATCTTTATCTGTATATAAAAGGTATATGCATGATTTTTTTAATAGATGTTGTATTCCTTAACCTGACACTTTTCATAACATCTGTAGTTCCAGGCCTAACCCTTTTCCTGACCTCCTCTCCTTTCCTTCCACTTCTTTCTTTTATGTCTGTGTTCAAATCTTTTCTGCTATATTTGATTCTCTTTAAGCTTGCCTCAAATTCAGCTTTCACCAGATACAGGCTTTCATGACTCATTAATCATGCTCATTATACACTTAACTTGTTGATTCATACCCTGTTACCTGCCCCAAGTTGTCCTCAAAGCACGGTTTGTGTTTTGATATTACCAGCACTTTATTGAGCCAAACTGCATTGCAAAACAGTTGCCATGGGCACCAGATCTTTTATGGGTACAGGAGAAAACTCTGAAGAGGTGGAGAGGAAAGAAAGATCAGTTCACCTGATTCTGCCTCTCATAAGAGAAAACGAAGCAAAAGCCATCACCAAATCAATTTATTGGGTAAAAAGAAGACAGATGCAATGCAGAAATTTAAGAAGACAATTTAAGAAAAGGAAAATTGAGAATTTTAAAAAAAATCTTTGCAAGCAATAAGAGATAGGAATCAGGAAAAGAAAACAAGAAATGGAATTTTACATCAATCTTAGAAAATTTACTATCTTTTCCAGGCCTTTATTTCCAGATTGGAATGCCATCACCCCACCATAAGGAACAAAGAATATTGTTCCATGGAATCCCTCTTGCAGATGGCACCAGGTCACTTTTATACCATGATCCTCTAATCGTTTCTTGTACAGCAGTCCATCATCTCTAAGCACATCAAATTCACAGGTCAAAATGAAAGCTTCAGGAAGTTGAGCAATAACATTGTCTTCAGCTAGCAGTGGTGAAAAAACAGTGTCAAACATAGGCTTGATCAGTGTATAGACTTCTTTTGAGAATTGATGTGTATTTGTGTGTGGTTTGTAGCCTCTTGTTTTAAACTCATGAGGGATGCAGTCAGGACTCACCCATTTCTGATACTTCAGTTGCAAATCTTCTGGAATATGACAACTTTTAACCATAACTTCCATGACAGACAAGTCTATATTAAGATACTTCAAAGCAAGAGCAAGGATTCGTTCCTTTAACAAAATGGGGACTCTCTCATTCTGCTGATAAGAAGGCAAATTAAAGTCCACAGCCTGGAGAAAAGGATATATTAGGATTTGTGCTCTCAGCTTTGGGAGATCTCTTCTGTTCACCAGTGCTTGGGCAACAGCAGCGGTGAGTGTACCTCCACTACTGTCTCCACAGATGATAATGCGAGAAAGGTCTACTCCATAATCTTGTGCAGTCCTCATAAAGTGTATGGTGGCAGTGAGACAATCCTCAAACTGGGTTGGATATGGATGCTCAGGAGCTAAGCGATACCTAAATAGGAGTGAAAGTGTTTTAACGTAGTCATATCTAGTGAATGGTCCTGTTGTTTTTTCATTCACATATTTATTTCTGAAGATAGGAAAATATTCTGAGATTATAATTACAGCAATAGAATTGATCGCAATTACTGCTTTTGATGTATTATTTGCTACTATTGTTAATATTTGGGGGCGTCAGTCCACTATTCTATCTTTGCAAAATACTTCTTTACCTGTCTTTTAGGTGACTGAAGGCATATGCTGAGTTATTGTAGAATTAGGTGGCAAGGCGGATGTGTATGAATCAGTTATCAGCAATTCTAGTTAGAAATCAAAGCGAACATTTCCCAACAAATTGTTAGAGAATATGAGCATAGAAAATTGCTAATGAAAATATGAAAGGTTTTCAGTGGTTTTCTATAAGTTGAAGTCTTTATAAACAGAATCAATAAGAGTTAATGGTTCTTCAAGTATGTTAGGATGTAAACAGTAATTAGTGCAATTTTAATCAATTTCCAAGATGTCAACTCTTTTACTGAACTTTTAGAAGCTGGTTCTTTTAAAAATGCATTACAGCTCATCACAAAAATATTTTGAATGTCCATCTCAGGTTGTTTGCAAGTTAAATGTGGATATCCCCCCCAGTTTTTCAGAACTACTACTAAAACGAGTATTTAGTAGTCTGGGCAGCTGTGCTTTTAACAGAAACAGTTACACTTCAAACACAGTGTGGCTTTCAACTTAAGGTCATCTGGTTATGGCTTTAGAAAACAAAAACATCCTCACCTCTTAGTGGTGCCTACAAATTATAAAATTATTATAATGGATTTGATTTGGAAATAAGCAAGTGGGGATTTGTTGACTGATTCTTCCTAAAAGTAGTTAGTGCTGGTAAAAGGCATGTGATCATTAAATGTAAGTACTGCACTTTACAAGGAACCTGGCTTGAAGTGACTGTGCATTAGAGACTGACAAACCTAGAAGGAGGCACAAATGGCTATCACATTGTGTGTCTGGATTGACTCCACTTACCCAACAGACACAACCACTGAATTGCTTTTTCTAGCGAAATAGCGGCATATTCTTTCATAGGCCCCTGTAAAACAAAATATTTCAATGGAATTGTAACTTGCTATAAAAATAAGTTGAATGAAAATATTCTGAAAATCTTATCTCTATTCTGTGATTAATGTGACACTGTAATTCTCTTATTGTGGCATGGTCTAATCTGGACATTGCTCACAATTTCATTACATCTTTGGGAATCTTCTTGCCAGTAAGAAACCTGGAATTTACACCCGTGCATTGTTTCAGTCTCTTGTTTGAAAAGTTAGTGAATAGAAAGCACCACTGCTGCCACTTCTAAAGTAGTATTGAAGATGAAAAGTTATTTTTTTAAAAAAAACCACCACACAACCAGAAAAAAGACCTGCTAAATCTAGCACCAGAATTTTTCCTGTCATGAGCCACCATCTAATCTCTTATGCCTTTCCATTTCAAATGCCAAAGTTGTTTTTTTTCCTTGTTTTGCCACTATAAAGACACACAGCAATAGACACACATACACACAAGCTTGCACACACGGGTGAACACAAATTGGGTTCTTTAAAATAAGAAATAAAATTCTAATGAGATTTTCAATTTTTCTTGTAAGCATGAAAGACAAGAAGGAAGAAAACAGGTATTATAAATGATCAGAGAATAAAAGTTCTAGATACACTACCTGTATAAAGACAATTTAACATGATGTCTACTGCATGTACATAAAATTATTCTGCTGTCCTGAAATTAATTTTGTTATTTATAATGATTAACCTACTAACTCTTCTTGTTATTTAAGAAATACCATATCAGATCAGAAACTGCATAGTATTTGTAATTAGAGCTCATATTATTTATATTACTTACGAACGCTTCCAAACTGTCCAGCTCCTCCATGAAAATAAAGGATTCCTCTTCTTTGGCTGGTGGTTGATATTTTTGGCTGGTAAATTCTTACTTTAACCTTTTCAAACGTTAAGTCCTTGATAAAAAGATGTTTCTCTCTTAATGGTGGTATTCCATCCATTGCAGTCCTGAGGAAATTGACCTCCGAGGTGATACCGACTTTTTCCAAAAATTTTGCCTGTTAATAATGGGAAAGGAACCACAAATTAGTGCAAATTTCCATCTTACCTGGAGATTGATGGTGAAAAATTTAAAATTCCATGGTCAATTCAAACTTTGTCTCCTGATCATTCTTACAGTGCAGTGGCCAGTTATGATGATGATTTGGGTACATCTTCATTGTAATGTAATACCTACCAAAATTTGAAATTGAACAAGCGGTAGATTTGAGAGGAATGGATGAACTTATCTTCTGTAGCTGCCTTGTGTCCATGCTTCTCCAAAAGCAAGGCCTTTGAGCCTGTGGGAAAGACTGCCTGAGAGTTGCTTTCACAGAAGTGCAGTAACTTGGCTCATTAATAACCATCTTACCTCTCTGGCAAAAGTTAGCAGCACTGTATAGCACAACATAGGGTTAGCTTTGGTGGTAATTTCTAGATTATATTAGAAATGTTAGATGAGAGTGTGGCGGTTTTCAAATTATTTCATTCTTCAGTGGTGAAATCCTGGCTTAGTTTTTATCAGCAGGGAAAAAATCAAACTGTTAATAGTAGATAAAAAGAAGGTGTCAAATACTTCAACTTTTGAGGTGTTTAAGTGGCCATGTGCCTAAAGAAAATAAGGAGAGACTCATTACAGCATTTTAAACTTTAGCTTTGGATGAAGAAATGTGGCTGATACTTTAGTTTCCCAACTCACGCTCCTTCTTAACTTGCAGGAAAAAAAATTCCGTAGCATCTACCACAGCCAGCCTCCTGAACAAGAATAGCTTTGAACCTTAGCTTCATCTTCTCACAGCTCAGTGATTCTTACTGAAACACTCAGGCTGAAGATTCTTATTTCACTCTGAGGTAGTCTACTTCATTGCATCTGAATGGCTTTAAGCTGTTTCAGCTGTAGTCTGCTCTAGTCTATTCCTGCTCAAGATGAAAAAATATGAGGCAGTATCACTGTATTTCCACTATATTGGAGTAAATTTTGTACTTTTGTTCTTCAGCAGTAGACTTCTCTAATGAGTAATTTAATTTGTTGTGTTGCTGTTATTCATGCATATGTATTTAAAAAAGAATTGCATATACAAAAGTACATGCTGCGTGTATCTTAAAAACCCGCAACAAGTCCTGTGGCTTTCACCTCACATTTCACAGACCTCAAGGAGCTCAATAACGTGGTCCTGTTAAATTTGACATAGGTATCCTGTTTTGGGCCATTTGAGGAGCTGATCCCATATGCAAGAAGGATCATCTTGTGGCCATGTTTTAGTCTCATACTGATTCCTTCTACAGAACTCCTGTATGATGTCCATGGGAAAATAATTTTGTTTCTCTAGTCTTTCAATTCCCTCTGATATTTTGTTTCCTTACACTAATACTTTTGTCACAGTAAAGGTTAAAATTGTAATTAGTTATATTGTTTGTATATAATATAGAGGTCATCTTCATCTTGGAAATACTGAAAAAAAATAATAGGAGTCCATATCAACCGCTGTGTTTAGTGTTGGCAGTCTGACATCTCATTTTTGTCAAACCTCCAATAATTTCACAGATTGGCTTTCATAGAGATTGGCATTTATTTATCTCGCTCTTAGTCACTTCACTGTTAGCTGTGAATATCTTCTACAGATTACCTGCAACAATGTACAGTTCTGGCAGACATCCGTAATTGGAATCATCACACATAATCTTCATAGTTATTTCTGTTAATATGCAAATGAAATGTTAATCTTGTATTGTTGTTTCAAATTGTATTGTTTTAAATTGTACAGTTCCTGTGATTAGAAGTTCTACAAGAACCGGCAGAATTTGCATTTTTGCTTTGTTTTCTGATTCAGGTCCATTTTTTTAGTATATATCCTCCCTCAAAGTGAGGTATTGGGTTTTGGCCTACAGTTTCTGGAAAAAAGTGATCACTTGCATGACAGCTGCCAGACTGGGTTATGTGCACACAGAGTATAGCTAGACTACGTATCACTGATTTATTACCAGAAATGCCCATTTCAGGATATTCATGTTCATAAAGCTTGCTCTTTTGCAGGTGATTAACCAAGGCAGTCACACATGGCCTACATTTTGACATTTGTAAATAAGTGCGACTGCTCAGTAGTAGAATTTGTAAATCGGTAATTGGACAGTTTGATTATAAGGTTTCATTAAGGATCTTCTAACACTATAGCTGACATGGCAGCTGGAAAATTAATAAAGACTTGCAGGTAGCATAAGATAGTCAAAGTATGGGACTAGAGAACTGCGACCTCAGTTGAAGCATTGTGTAGCTCAGCCTCTGCAGTCACACTACATGCAACAGTGTCTGCATTCACAGTGAAATTCTGAAAAACTGATCCCACTGGCAACAACTGGCATGGAGATTTCCGTGCACCAGGAGAAAAGCTGTGTAAGAGCTGAGTTAGCTTAGACGTGGGAGTCCGAATATATGTTCAAGCAAAGGAACAGGGCCTCCAGCAACATGCATGTAGTAAAGTCTGCGGGAGGGTGTCGCGAATGAGTGGTTTAAGGTCACACAAAGAATCACCATCAAAGGTATTGGCAGAAATGGTTTTAATGCGAATTTATAAAAGTGTGATTTAACAAAGTTCGATGACAAGGTTCACTCTATTCATGAAAGGGATATACACGGGAAAAATCAAGTTAGAATCAAGCTAGAGTGATTTACACAGAGATCGGAGATAAAAGGGGTAAGGGGTGCCTTCCCGTTGAGTCACAAGGTTCAGAGTAGACCCCCTTGCTTTCTAAACTCCTTCAGAGAGGAGCCCAGGTGCAGCTGGATCTACTCCTAGTCCCAGACTTGGTCAACAGTTTATGTCTAAGAGATACCAGGAGTTGGATATTTAGCAGTAGGATTTAGCAGTACTTCTTCATTTAACAGCACTTAATAATTGACTAATTTAACATTTACAAAGTAATTCCATAGGATTTACTATGATCATAACAGTGACTTAAATTGTTAAAGGGTATTTGAATCGATTCACACATTCATGCACACAAACACAAGAAGAGAGAGAGATGTATAAAGGAATAAAGATACATATACTTGTTAGAAAAATTCCCCTCGAGTTCAGTGAAATACTCACTTCAAATGCCTTGGCATTTGTCTATGGGGTGAGGGTTGAGTCTCGAGGAGTGAAGGATTTTCGGCCCAGGCTCTGTTGTCTGCTTTCAGCAATGATCCTCCAAACTTCACAGACTTGAGAGTTTGGCGAGCTCTGAGAGCCATCCCCCTCCGAGGGAGATGCTAGTTGCATCCTGCCGCAGTCCAGGAGAGCTCAAAGGGACTCACTTATGACCGCTATTTATAGGTGCGCAAGGTGATGGACTTTAGTCATTAGTAAATATCCATTCTGGCCACAATTTGAGTCAGTAATTGCTGGAATTCTCACAATTCCAGTTGCGATGATACCACGTTTTGCTCAAGCTACGATTCAGATAAGGGATGTACTGAGGCGTGTTTTGCTCGTGTTTCCAAGGCCTGTTTTGCTCGAGCTATGTGGCTGTTTTGCTTGAGCTTCCATTCAGATAAGGGATGTACTGAGGCCCATTTTGCTCGAGAGACGAGGCTGTTTTGCTCGAACTTCCAGCCTTGGCCAGGCAACAGAAATTGCCAGTACAATCAATGTTATTCCCACCTTAGCTGTGGAAGAGTTTCTGGTACAGTCAGGAGATGCTTAACCGCCCAACTCACTACACAAAGGCTGAGGCCTGAGTCCCTGAGATGGTAGCGAGGCCCAGAGAAGGAGCGGGGGAAAAGCACCACCGCAGATGGATGTGAGAGCGCTGTGCTATTGTGGGGTTAGGGTCCTTTGTCTGCTTTACACAGGCACAAAGGCCTACCGTGTACACCCCAGAACCCATCTGAATTGCACTTTGTGCCAGCCCTTCTACCTAAATCATTACTGGAATAAACTGGGTACAAGAAGCTTGCAGAACTACTAACACAGTAGCTAGCATAATTTAATCAGCCCCTCTATTTCCCAGACAGGATCGATCATAAGTCCCCTGGCTATTGTTTAGCTTTACTGATACGTCAATTTTTCTTCTTATAGACTGAGTATTAGATGGAAAAATAAAGGATGACTTAATAGATTTTTCAGTCAAGAAATTTTATTAACATTAAGATGTAGCTGTTTTTATTTAAGTATATCCTCATTGGTGAATGCAGACATTTCTTCATAAAATCTATTAGATTGAGCACAACTCCTTCAAACTGGTCTGTCTCCAGTGACTTCACATACATCTTTTGTCCCAGCGGAAGACTGGATATGCTGGTAAAATTTAATTTTCCCTGCAGTTTTGACATCATGGGTTGTCATCCCTTGAAAGCGTTTGGCTACTTTGGCATAAGTAATTGGCCTAACAGCAATACCAAGAGTTACTACGTGACTCGGACTTTACTTGCATTTAAACTTTTGTATAACCATAAATTAATGTTCTTATCTTTCTGCTCCTTTGAGGTGATCTGGTACGGTGTTTTTGCTTGGCCTCTGACTGGCCAGCAGAAAGGATACAAAGTTACAAGATCAGAAGTTAAAAACTACATTAATCACCAGTAAATTTCCAAATTCTCTAGTTTAGCTTTTTACATATGAATTACACAAAGATAACACTTTGTCTGATGGGTAAGGAGTATTCATACAGTGTTTTGAAAATGTGGAAATCCACACATTATATAGTAGATGTAAGAAAATTTAATTTGACTTCTATTACTATCCTATTTTATTGCATTCCTTTACTATGGTAGCAGTGTTCAGGCCTGGGTGGGGCACTTAAGAGACACAGTGAGTCATGTTCTGAGGAGCTTGCTGGCTGACTTCAAACAAAACTTAATCAGCAATGTAGCAGGGAAAGGGAGGAAGAAATAATAACATTAGAAAGTGGAATTGAAGGGAAATGTAATGCACAAGTCAAAGAAACTGAAGGTTTTTTTCACAAGTTAAACAACTAAAAGAAAAGAAGCTTGATTTAGGTATCACAGAAGAAGTGCTTTTAAAATGACAGAGGCAAAAAGTAATTCAGGAAAGGATAATTGAGGAAACAGAAAGACAAGTGGAAGTCACATTTTAGTTTGTGACATTAAGGCAACAGGATTAAAAAGCTAAAACATAGGCCATCAGAAAAAAATGGGAATTACACAGTCTGCAGAATTTTATTTTTCCATATTGTTACATTTGGTGCTATATAGTAAGGAGTAGAGTCTATTATTCCCAGCTGAGCTGAAGGTATCTGCAGTTGTGCTCACATCATCAAATTAATCCAGTTGCATATTTGCAATGTATTTAAACATTGATTCTAAAAAACCCCTCACCAATCCATTACCCCTCTATCAGAAATTAAATTTAAAACTCCAGCTTTAATCAAGCTTTACTTACCAGACCAAACCCGAAGTTCAGGACATAATGTAAAACGTAAAGCTTTTGATGCTGACTAAATCCACGAGGGATTTCTGCCTTGGGGTGTTCATAATAGAATGCCATTGCCACAAAGACAGTCAAAACAGCAAGAAAAATCGCTAGGAGAAGTTCCATCTTGCTGTGTTGTTAGGAGCCAAATGGAAGAACCAGCTGTGGCCTCCTTCCCCCTCTGACTTTTGAAGGATTTCTGAACGTAAATGCACGGGATTAGGCTCTTCATATCCCATCATCCAGCTTTTAAAAATACCAATGGGAAGATGAAAACATGTGGCAATCAAACCATACAATTAAACAGACAGTAACAATTGGTCGTGGGAGAGGCTTGCATAAGCAGTTTTGCATGTTTGCAGCTAACAAGTTTTGGGTCTGTGCCCATCACTATAGAACCAGTACTTGATATATCATTTGTAGCGTCAGTGTTATGAGAAGACAAAAACTTGTTGAGTCTCTCCCTGTTTCTTGAATACAGCCAAGTCTGTATTATTTCTGAGCTCCTGTGAGTTCCCGTGGAACAGGATTTCTTAGCAATCATCTTCAGAGCTGCTCAGTTTCTTGATTTATTGTGCCTCCACACCTTACTTGTTCAGACTTCTAGTGAAATCAAGGTTTCAGTGTGGTAGACACATTTCATCACCTTTGAGGACTGATTTTGTGCACTGCTGTGATGTTGCATTTTTGAGTCTAATGGAACCAGAAGCAGCTGCAGCCTGAAGTGTCAGTGCTTTGTGTCTTCCTTCATCCTCCTTGATAGCTTTTCTCCAGCACATGAAAGCCTGTACCAACTGTTAGGTTTGTTCATTTTGTATTTGTTTTTTTAACGGCCTCTTGTAAGGTTGAACCTTACAGTACTGCAATCTGTCTTCTCGTTAATATATTACTTACAGATGTCATTCTAGGTAGAAGTATGATTGCAGCTGATGAAAACTAGACTTGGACTTCATGGTTCCAGTGCTAGTAACAATGTCTAGACATCAGCAGCCCGCTCTTTTCTGTGTACTCTGTGGTGAGCTTTAGGATCTGTGCCTTCCTCTGGAACTAACATACTTTCCAGTACACAAATCATTAGTGGTAAGATTTAACCTGAAACAAAAAATCTGTACAGAAAGCTTTTTCAGGTCGTACGATGTCACCTTTGGGAACAGTGTCTTTTTACCAGTCTGCTCAAACTGTGAAGGCAACAGATTCTCACTCTGAAAAATAGCAGTATGGGTAAAAGGAGTGTGTAAATTTTTTCCTTAAACAATAAAAAAAAGAGTACCAGGGATGAGCTGACCTTGAGATGTATATTAAAAGGAAACTAAACGCAGAGAACCCCAGAGCTTTAGAATGCATAATCCGTGACCTGCATAGAAAAGCACACCTAAGACTTGATTCCTGACTTTAGAAACTGTTTATTAATTGTTCAGAATAAATTGAAAGGAGCTTCATATTCATGACAGATCCTTTGTACTAAGGTTATTACCACCTATTGTTCATCTGTTTTCTAAATCTTTTTAGTCCCAGTCCTTATGGTAGCCAGTTTACCAACAGCTGGTAGGTCTTGGACTCTTTGGGGCATGTTAACTAGATCCAGACATCACAGCGCCCTCACCAACCCCAGAGGCTCCACAGAAAGACTGGATGTGCTGGAATCTGGTATCAGCTGTAAAAGAAACAAACCAGTTGGTTCCTAAAGTAATAAACTGGTTTTTTGTTTGGCCATTGCACGTACACAGAGTAATACTTGATTTACAAGCTTGCTTGAGTCTCAGGATGGAGAATCATTCCCTAAATAATCTTCCAAATGTATGCTCTTTCCAGCTTCTGATATTCTAAGGTTATCTCTTGGTCCTATGAGATAGATCAGAGGAATTGGCCCCTGACGCCAAAACCCCATTTTCTCTTACCCCAGTTACTAATTTCCAGTGAAGAGCTAAATGTCAGTGCCTGAAATCTTGTCGATACTGGGCTGGCATCCTTAAGCTTTTTCTCTGTTGTGCAGCTGAGACACAGACTGAGCCAGTTGCAACAGCTATGAAATATTCCCTCACGTAGTCTTCAGGCAGTGGTCCCAAGAACTCTCTGCCTGTCTCTGACTCATGGTGCCGATAAGGTGGCAACTAGGTGCTCACCTGCCTACTCGGAGGTCACACCAAGTGTGAATGGATGCCTGTTCTCCAATACTGGGAAGCATTCCCGAGAGGAGGTGCTGCTTGACCCCAGAAGCTCCTTTGGAGTTCTGCAGAGCATGAGGGCCATCTGGTGCTTGAAGTCTGAACTTGGGAACTGAACTAGCTTGGTCAAGTCCTCGCCGACATACTCCGACTGCGTTAGCTGTAAGCATGCATGCAAAGCACTGACAAGATCTGCTTATGGCTTATTTTGTGGGACAGCTTGTGTGCGCACACTTGTATCTAGGTGTATTTCTCTGTATGCATAATTCCTTGCGGAAAGACATTGGCATAATTCTGTAGGTGCACTGCAAGTTTGTCATTGATTGTGTTTTAAATACTTGAGAACTAATTCCATGGTTTGGAAACTATAAAATGTCTTCAAATGAACAAACACTGTGTCTTAGCAATGCAAGACACATAGCAGATCTGTAATTAATTAAAATAAATTAGAGGACAGAAAGTTCCATGGAGACAATTAGATCTTGCCACTTTCTAAATTTTAGCAAATATGGGAGTCGCTAATAAAAAAGGAATAGATTGTTTCAGCACTTGCTGTTCTCTACTTACCCATCTGCACTACTGTGGTTATAACAATACAGATTACAATGTATGTGTTCAAGAGAGCTAGTAATAGAGCTGATGTTTTATAAAAATAAATTTATTAATATTTGTGGTAAATTGAAAACCTACAGATGAAAGACCATGGAAGGATCACAGGAGTAGATCAGTGTAGAGTTTAGAGACTGACCCGTAAATGAGGCATAAGTCCAAAGATTGAATAATGGAAAGAAAACAAGTATTGGATTGCTGAACTGACAAGGAATATAATACACGCTGCACTGAATAAGATGTGTGTAAAATAGTATGAGAGCATATGTGATCATCTCATAACTTACAGCACACAGAGTGGAATTGTATGGACATCTTTAGTTGTAGCACTACTGACCACCTCTGTACCTGCAAAGAATCATCTAAAGAACCAGCCTGGTGTAGAAGATGCAAAGAAGAGTGATACATGAATAAAAATGATCCTCAATAAAGATAAGCCTAATGACTCTTACAGGTTTGACTGAAGTTTATGAATACATACCCAAAGTAACTTTAAGCCAGCTTGCTGAAGTACAGATAACAGTACACCCATGGCAGAACAGACAGGGATTAACAGTTCAAATATTATCCAGCTTTTTGCATCGCTTCTACAGCAGTTACTAGCTCTGCTGGCCTAGCTTCAGCTACCAACATGTAAGCTGGTAAGCCAACCTTCATCTTGAGATCAGAAACCAAAATGAATCCCCAGTTTGACATCAGGTTGCGTAACCAAAGCAAATCCTGAAATCCTCAAAGAGTGGAACATTTGGAACTTTATCATGTTACTTACTCCTGGAAGAATTTATGTGCTTGAAAAGTAAATTGCTAGTACCTGCAACAGGAAAAATGAAACACATAAAATATTTGTTCTGTCAATAGAGCATGAAGAAACATGATTTCATTTTGATGAGAGGTACTGGAGAAAAAAATTCACAAGTAAGAACTTGTTGCTCCAGAGATTTGTAACTGCTAACTTGTCGGCACGTTTAATTAACATGCTGACAACGCGAACAATTTGACCCACCATTTTCTTCCTACTTACAGTTTTGCTGGCAGAGAACAAAGATACGTACTAACCTCTTTCCACACTTGAATGTGCATACAAGTGCAATGAGGTTGCATAACAATTATTAAATATTTTACAATTCCTAGCCATTGCGTGGCCAGCTGTTTTGACATGCAATGGCAATTATCTGCGCATCTGTGTTTGGCAAAGGTGGACCTGTCCTAATAAGCGATAGAACAATTGAGCTGAGATTTTTTTGTTTCCTTTGTGTTTTGGGTGTTCACAGAAATTATTTTGGCAGCTTCCATGCTGTTTATGTATTTTCTCCCCGTATTCCAGGTAAACAAGTTAATTATTTGTCTGATTACAAAAAGGCAAAACCCACTATGTCTCTGTCTTCCCTGAATTCAACCAAATGCTTCTCAAAAAGGAACTTTATAGAATATAGTTTAGAGGACATTCAGTTATTTTTGTGCGGTTCTCCCTCACTGCATTTATGTTACCAGTCTCAGACACTTACAGGTAGCCATCTCGTACGGCTCACATTTCTGTACCTCCCTTCTGTGTCACCCATTTCCCTCTAAAATCAGATATATCCAGTTCCTTCCTTCAGATTTTATGGCCAAGTCCAAAGCTGTTGGTTGCCTATACATGTAGTCTGATGATGATTACTACTCATCTCAGAAGTACTGAAAGTATGTTCAATCTCCAGAGGTGTTGGAGGGGGCATTTTATCTGTGCTGTCATGCTGGTTTTCTGTGTATTATGTGGATATGCATATCCACATTGCTGATTACTGATATAGTGCATGCTTTAAAATGGTTTTTTTTGCTATGGTGAGTTTTTATTCTTTGACATAAGAATAGAACAAAAATTCTTACAACGTAAGGAGAGAACAGCAAAACAAGCATACCAATTTATGGGTTTAAAAAAAAAATAAAAAAAAATACATCAAATACATCATGTTCCCAAGTAACAGCAACTGAAAATCAGAATTCAGCAGACTATGCTAGTTTTATTATTTCTTGCTTAGATTATAATGTACGAATAGCTAGTAAATAGTTGAAATATACTCTATCTGTATACCAGTACACTGTGTTCAAGAAAACATTGTAATAGCATTTTATAAAGTTTGGTTCACCATTTTACTCCATGATGGAAAAGAGAAAATACTATAACCAAAAAATCCCAGTGCACAGTGGAAGCCGTCTTCTGTGTGGTATCAGGTCACTTTTACATTGCTGTCCTCTACCTGTTTCTTGTACAACAATCCATCATCTCTGAGCACATCATGCTCACAGGTCATTATACAAGTATCAGGTATGCGGCAAACAAGAGCATCTTCTGCTAACAGTGGGGAAAGTTATCTCAAACAGTTCTTTTGTTTCTTCATGGACCTGAGGTAAAAGTGAAGTGAGTAACAGTGGCTTATAGCCCAGTTTAAATATCTCTGGGATAAGATCTGGATTTATCCATTTCCTATATTTCAAATTCATACTCTCGAGAACATGAGAACCTGCCAAAATAGCTTCCTTCATAGAGCAATCCTTATTCGAGTACTTCAGAACAAAACGGATTGCATGTTCCCAGGACGAGAAGGCAATGAAGGCATTTTTCTGGTGAGATGGCAGATTAAAGTTCAATGCTAGGAGAAACGGGTAGATCGGTACCTGGGCACGTATCTTTGGGATATCTCTTCTATTTACTCATTCTTGGCAGACACTAGCAGTAAAAGTGCCCCCTGCACTATCCCCATAAACAATAATCTGATCAGGAGCCACCCCATAATTTTCTGCAGTCTTCAAAAAGTGCACAGTAGCAGTGAGACCGTCCAAAGTTTGGGCTGGATACTTATGCTCAGGAGAGAAATGATACCTGAAAGGTACAGAAGACAGCTGTCATTACAAATGCATGTATTTGTAACTTGCTTGAACGTGTCATCTTAAATGCATCCCATGCATTTGCAAAAACTCACCAAACCCAGTATTACTTATTTAAAGTTTTGCGTGCTGAAGCAAACCAGAAGAGCTCCCTCTCCCATTTCTGCAAAATACAGAGACCATTGATCATTAAGGTTTATTCTAGCATAATTTAAGAGCACGAGGGCTTGAGTAGTGCAGTGCAACCGCCCACATTATACAGAGCCACACATTTACTCAATTTGTGACCTGAGTGCCCCTGCCTGGGATCAAAATCCATGCCAGCAGGGAAGTCTGCAATTCAGCCAAGTCCTGGCTCCTGAGCTTTTTACACTGGGGATGCTGATTATTGTATTATTATATATTAGTACAGCATTGTATATTATTATTACATTTTAATATAAGAAAAATAATTTAATAATATATATTACAAAGCACCATACAGTAAATGTACTCTGGTGACAAAATAGCTTCCTGTAGACAATTCTTTCATTTATTTTATTAACTGGAACAAGTGAATTACAGAGGAGTGATGTTAAAATAACAATCTCTTTGGTTTTTTCTTATCTAACAACTTACTTTCATATGGTGGAAAGCAAGGCAGACATAGCAGTAAGATACCCCGTCAAGTTAAAGTGTTGTAGTTTGATTCCAATGACATATAAGACTACTTTGGGACTGTGTTTTTAACAGTCATGGTTCTTTATTCTTCATATTTGTCGTCTTAGGGCTTTCTGGAGAAGATTAAGGAAAAGAGAAATACTGCAAAGGTAACAGTGCAGGCATTCTCTCTTAACCCTTCACTGTTTCCTGAGGCACACTGCTTCTGTTTTTTGGGTTTTTTTTCACTATTCTGTGAAATTAATTCAATGAGTTCATAAAGTAAACGTCCTAATAACCAGGGAATAAAAGGATATCAGTATCTTATTTCACAGTCACTTTAAACGCATCATGAGATATGGATGAGATATCAACCCAGATGAGATATGGAATATGCAATTCATTCTCAAAATTAATTCCTCCCAACTTAATAAAATTCTTTAGTAATTTTTTTCGTGGAAGAATTTGTTGGGAACTAAAGTTTCTTCATACCATCAGCTATCTTCCATAAGCAAAACATCTTTAAAAGGAAGCAGTGACCCATGCAGTTTAAAAAAAATAATAAATTAAATTTTAATAATAGCTAGCATACAGATTACTGTTGCAACTTTATAACCTGTATCAGGTATTTCTTATTGTCATTTCATGGCACATGCTTGCTCGCATATATCAACAACATAGGGGTGGACAACACTAGAGCTGAGTTTCTTTTCTGGTATTCAAAGAAATGTAAGTACAGAATGGGCCTTGTTCCGGGGGTGGGGGAAGTCTGGGGGAAAGCAGCAGAACTATCTAATTCTGGGAGTAGCATTGGGTGGAGCTCACTTACCCAGCAGACACAACCACTGAATCAGATTTTCTGGCTATGTACCGGCATATTCTTTCATGACTTCATGAAGAACGAATCTTGTTAATGTAATTAATGCCTTAGCATACTTGAAGCAATATCGTCCCTTATTTTTTTATGACATCTTGCCATGATTGAGTGTGGTCCCCTTGCCTATTTAGTGAACTACCCAAATTTTCTAGGATAAAAATAATCTAGTCTTTTCATCATCAGGACACACTGTAAAATTCATAAATTTAGGGAGATTGTTGATCTGTAAGGAAAATAAGGAATTATGATTATTATTCTTATTAGACAAGGGACAATGGTTTTAAACTGAGAGAGGGTAGAATTAAATTCGATATAAGGAACACATTTTTTATGATGAGGGTGGTGAGACAATAGACCAGGTTGCCCAGAGCAGGATGCCCCATCATTGGAAGTGTTCAAGGTCAGACTGGATGGGGCTTTGAGTAGCCTGATCTAGTAAAAGGTCTCCCTGCCCATGCCGGAGGGGCTGGAACTAGGTGATCTTTAAGATCCCTTCCAACCCAAACCATTCTATGATTATTATGCACAATTGCTTAGAGTGGTTGTAAGGGATAAAATAGCTGGAGATCTTTGTAAAAGCTTATTACATTGTTTTAAGTAACTGCAAGTCTGAGACTGACACATCATTTTGCTGTGGAAATGCTAATTGTAGTACTATAGCTAAGTCTAATGAATTTTGTATTTGAAGCAGAGATTTGACTATTTTCTGAAGAATGAAGGGTGCAGCTGGTATGTGCCCTGTGAAACCAGTATATTTCTGTGTGGCTAATTCAGGCAGAAATCTAAGACATCCAAATAGTGTTATAGTAAATTGTCTAATTACATAATTATTGCATGGTAAGGTTGTGGGCAGAAATATGCCTCTTTTAATGTATTTAAAGATACATTGAATTTTTCTTCAACCTTAATTCTGAATTTGCTGCATTTAGAAGATTTAGTTTACAGGTATTTGCTCAATGATGTGTTCTTTCAATTACAGAATTCTAACGCCATTTAAGATGTGTGCATGTCTACTGCCTGTAGAAACAGTATCTTTTAGAACTTTTTAAATTACATATTTGCAGTTATCTGCTTTCTCTAATAAATTAAACTGGAAAAAAACAACGACATAACTAAAGTACATGCATCACGGACACATGTTTTAAAATGGCTGCTATAGGCCACTTGAATTGCCATGAACACTGTTTATACAAGTCCCAATAAACATGCTGCAGTTAGAGATCAAAGGGAGGAATGCAGGTGTTAATAACTTCTGACAGGTTTTCAGACAAAGGATTTATTTCTTTAGCAGCAGCAGTTACTGGAAGGACTATATATGCCATAAAGAGTGCTATATCCTATAAAAATAATTTAGATACTAAGTAAGGGCAGATTAGAGTGTTTAAAAATTAAAAATAAACATTAGGTACTTTCTATCTCTCAAACTAAGCTTCAGTCACTTGTTAGATTCAGGGGAGTTTTTAAAAATATATAGTTAACAATCCTAAATAATCATATTTTCTCTTTCAGTTCCTTACTGATGTTTCCGAACATCCTGCATCCTCCATGGAAGAAGATGACTCCTCTGTTTGCTGGCAGATGGTACCCTTAGGAGGTAAATCCTCACTGGCACCTCATCAAAATGCAGATCCTTTATGAAGAGCTTTGAATCCCTGCAAGCCAGTAGTCCATCAACAATCAACCTCATAAGTATGTGCTCCTCAAAGATACCCAAACTTTCTAAGTTCTTTGCCTAGATAGATATTACAGGAAAAATGAGAAATTAGTATAGGGAATTGAAGTCTTCTGACTCTGTAAAAGCCACAAGCTACCTTTTTCTATACTATATTTAGGATAATTGTATTGGGTATTTGCTACTTTATAGGATTACCACAAATAACTCTAGTGGCTTTGTGATTTCAGTTATGAAAGTGAAAATGTACATCTTCATGATTTGAGGTAACATTATTTCTGGAAGAATGTTGTAATACTTGTTCCATGAAATGTATTATATAAATACCTTCTAACGTCTGTGATCTGGATTTACCACAAGTAACATCAGGCATTTGCGTAGGTATGGAAGTTAGCAGTCATGAGGCCTGAGGCTTTTTTTCTACTTGGTGAAGAGAAAGAGGCATTTCTTGAGGACGGTTCC